TTTGTTTGGTCTTTGTCATAAATAAGTGGATTTGAAAATTGTACCAAACCAATATACAACAGACGCGATGCCCCCTCTATCAAACATATAACTACATTCTCTACTTACAGAATTAGAAAGTACGCAATAGCTTCTTTCATTACCGAGAAGGAAAGTACTCTCAAAGTGTAGAGCATTCACTTTCCTGGATTTATTTCTTGCATAGAATTCTGTATAGTACAAATGATAGCATAATCATTATTGAAAATGAGATGGCTGATTATGTGCCACCTAATTATATAGATACTTTTTTTAAATTTTATGAATATCATTTTTATGGAACTTTACCAACAATAGAAATAACAACAGCATCATTTATTGAATAATTACTCTAATCAGGGACTATGTCAAGCACATTATATACATTTTATCCTTCCTATAACTCCTTTAAGGAAATTCTACAATCTAGGTTTTCCAGACAAAGATACTGTGACTCAGAGAGATTAAAGAACCTCCCCAAGATCACACGGCCAGAGGTGAGATTCAAATCCAGATATTCTGACTCCAAATCCTTAACTCTTAACCAGTTTTGGTTCTTTTCTGACCCACTAATTGCTCTAGATAATGATTCTGCCATGAAGTTAGTCACTGATAAAGTTGCGGGACAGTGACTAGAGAATGTCCTTAATGTGATAAGGGGCAGAAATGGAAAATAAAAGTGTCAGGATTTTGTACAAGCCCAATCCTTGACCATAAATTGCTCAAATATGGAAATGCAGGTCCCTGATCCAAACACTGTGACAAATTCAGAGGAAGTGGGTGACCCCCACAGTGAAGAAAGTATGGGTTATAACTGTGAGTCTACTGGGGAGGCAGTAAGGCCCCAGAGTAGGGCCCACTTACTGGGGTGGAAATTCAGGGTGGTGCTGAACTAGTCAAAACAAAACAGAGAAGTAAAAGTTTACTTGCAGGAACAAGATCACAGTGAGGAGAAATAATAGTGCTTAGAAATCAACAAAAAATTCCCTACAGTCACACTTGAAGCAAAAAACCCTGGATCCAATCAGCAGCAATGGAAACCCAAAAGACAAATCATGTCAGTGATCTAGTTGGAGTTCCTAGGTGTGGAAGAATGGCTAATGCTGAGCTCCACGTGGTGTGCTTGCTACCCTACTGTCTTCTTATATGGAAGTCAGTATCCAACTGAGCTCAAGGGTGAGCAGGTAGTTGAGTGTGAAGGTTGGCAGAGGAGGAAATGAGGTGGGGAATACTAACTCCGTATGAACACACTTGCATAGACCCAAGGCTAGAAAAACAAGAATGGTAACTCTGACCTACATGATTCAAAGTAAAAATGAAAGAAATTACAAGAAAGTACTTGTTTTTCTTACGTTGAAAAATTATCAAGAGCTTTAGTAAAATACTAAATATATTATAAAAAATTTTCATAGCCCTGATCATATGTCCAGTTTCTCTGTAGACTGGATGAAAAAGTAGGGCCTAATTCTCAACATTTATACTTGGTCTGAAAATGAGTTTGCTAAAAGATCTCCTGAAGGTTTGCAGGGAATTAGTTCATGAAAATCTGAACCATCTTTAGAATATATCAAATCTTAGTGATTTCCCTGCGGAGTCCCCAAAATGGTCATGCCCTATTGCTTTGGATACATAACAGAAGAGACCCAGATCCCATATCTCTGAACCCTAAGCCTGAAGAAAAGAATGGCAATCAAGATTCAAGAATACAATTAAGAAATAACTATTGGCATTGGAATGTAAATCACCACCTTCCTACATACAATATTTCTTCTTTCCAAAGCCACAGCCTGCAGAAACCGCTCTATTTCCTTACCTAGAGCCTTGTGCCAGTGATGTAGCCTTTGATAATTCTTGCAATAAAAATCCAGTCATGTATGACATTTAGGAGGGAGCAAAAGCTTTGACTTGCCGTGGGGCCCGGAACACTTATAAAGATGCCTTTAATGAGAAATGAAAGGAAAAAAAAAATAAGGATTCAGAAATTGAGCCAAATCAGAAAGGGTGTGCCAAATCACTAGGCACTAGGCTGCCTTTTAATGGTTCTAGGTAAAGAGAGGACCTTAATGTAAATTCCCCCCCCAAATTCAAATTAATCTAATACCAGACTAGATTGGAAAAGAAGAGGAATAAAGAGGACCAAGATGAAGCCTTAATGCTTTCTCAGCTACCGACAAGGTGAACTTTGGGCAGCACTGGAATATAGACATTTAAGAACCAGGCTGGTGTCACCCACGTCACAAGCATGCTTACACTTCCAAGAAAATCTGAGCTTTCACCAAGTGGTCCTTAATAGCAAGAATAGGCCACGCCCCTTCCACAGAATGTATTCCAATGAGATGTAGTCCATTCACATTTTCATTCAGCTCTTTTGCTCAGTTCCTTCAGTTAGCCTGGTCCTATTTCCTGTGGGGGGGGGCGCGGGGGGGGGGAGAGTTTTTAGTTACAGGCCATTTAGAAAACAGCCACTTTTCTCTCTAAGTCTCTTTCATTGAGTGTGAGCCAAATGTCTGCCTCTCACACTCCCTTGAAATCAGTACCCTAAGTAATTTTTGGCTAAGGACATACTCTTACAGAGATGGTGACCTTCTGTGTCTCCCCACGTCATTCTGTTTACACCCATTAGTCAGTGCAGTCTAACAAAAAGTCTGTGGCAAGTCAAGAACATTTATTTCCTAAGAGGAAAGGAAAATGTTCTTAGGCGAGAATGATTCCTGGGAATATACAAGACAAGAAGAAGCTTGGTTTCCTCCATCAAGCTGGGTATCCCCGAGCATTAGATGGACGCAGCAGACCCTTGTTAAAGCACAGTCCTCATCCAGGCAGTACCAACATCACTTGTAAGTTTGCTAGAAATGCAGATCCTAGGCCTTCTCCAGATCAGCTCCAGAAGAACCTGCAATCCCCAGGTGATTCATATTCACATTCAGGGTTGAGGGATATTGGCGCAGAACAGTGGTTCTCAACCTTGGTTACAGGTAAGAATCAACCTGGGAATCTTAAAAAAAAAAAAGTTACTGATGACTGGGTCCTACCCGCAGAGATTCCAAGTTAATCAGTTTGGGGTGTGGCCTAAGCACTGGGATTTTTAAAAGCTCCCCAGGAGATTCTGAAGCAGTCAGGGTTGAGAGCCACCTGCCTCATAGTCAAACAGTGGGATTCCTGGAGTCAGAGTTCCCTTTCCCCCATGGCCTGGCAGCCAGAGAGCTGCAGAGTAAGTAGTGGGGAGATCTCCGCTAAGGACTTAACTTTCTGCCTGGTGCTCTGTTCCTCTCAGCTTCTCCACACAGCTGTCCCTGACCCCTCACCCCTCTGCCAAACTACACCAGTGGTGAATGTCCACTGGTGCTTTAAAGACGCAAGCTCCGAGTCACCCTTGAGGACTACAACATCAGAGTCTCAAGATGGGATGCTAAAATCTGCATTTTTTAAAAAGTGGTTCTTTTTTTTAAGTTTTATTTGACAGAAAGAGATACAGTGAGAGAGGGAACACAAGCAGGGGGAGTGGGAGAGGGAGAAGCAGGCTTCCCGCTGAGCAGGGAGCCCGATGTGGGGCTCGATCCCAGAACCCTGGGATCATGACCTGGGCGGAAGGCAGACGCTTAACGACTGAGCCACCCAGGCGCCCCCTAAAATCTGCATTTTTAACAAGCTTCCCAGGTGCGTCTGATGTGCAGCCAGGTTTGTGAACTCCACAGTGGGTCTAGCCTTTCATCCTGCCAAGTCATTAAGGATTTGTAAGGATGAATGAGCTGTCAAGAAAGCAAGGGCCTGGTGCAGTGCTCCTTTATTAATTATGGGGAAGTGATGTATTGGCAATGATAATGCTTCTCTTGGAAAGGCCAATGAATGGTTCGTCGATTGCTGCATTAGATTTTTCCCAACTCAACCTTAATGCTCAGCTTTTACTCCTCTGTGTGGTTTAGAAGCGGCATGGCTTTCGCGTTAAACAGCTTCTTGGTCTTTATTCCCAGGTGAGTTGCAATCTTTGAGGGAAATACCAACACGGAGAATCTTTCCGAGATCTTGGCTGGGGAATACCTCTCCCCTCACCCCCACATCCTTATCTGCTTGTGTCAGCAGCTTCTAGCCACGGTACTGCTGTGCATGTCTATACGTAGGAAAAACACAGTGAGGATATAAGAGAAAATCATTGATACATCCCCAGGTCCCTTTGCTAAACGAAAGCTTCCTTTCGCGGAGGGCTAGAAAGCGGAGGAAGAAAGATATATCTGGATGCACAATTTCAGAGGTGAGAAATGGGTAGGCAAGTCAGGGTGAGGGTTCTGCCTGTGGGAGAGGCGAGGAAGGTCGAAAAGAAAAGTTGCAGCGCCCGTCTGCGCGTGTAATCGATGGGCTGGGTGCCCGCCCGGGAGAGCGCTAGCGCGCGGCCAGAACGCACTGCGGGGCCGAGGGCCGGGAGCAAATCGAAAAACCTTCTCGGCGGCGGCGGCTGCGAGGCTGGGAGGCTGGAAAGGCTCCCCGCCCGCTCGAGGCTCAGAAACGCGCCGGCTCTCCTCCCGGGCGGTCGCCGAGGGCGCCGGGGCTCGGCGGGCCGCGGAGGCGGCGGCGGCGGCGGCGGCGGGGCCGAGCGCGCGTGTGAGCGAGTGCGAGGCTGCGGGCGGCGGGCGGGCGGCGGGCGGGCGAGTGTGCGCGGGAGGGAGGGGGAGCGCGCGCGCCGCCCGGGCCCCGGCCCTCCCAGCCTCCCGGCCTCCGCGCCTGCCTCCCGCCCGCGCGCACCGGCTGCCCGCAGCCGCCGCTCCCGCTCGCGCCGGCGCTGCACGGGAGTCTGCCCGCCGCCGCCCGCTCTGTGCTTCCCCCCGAAGATGGGAGCGACCTCTTCCCGGTCGGGAGCTATTTAAAAGGAGAGAGTGCGCCGTACTGCCAGCTAGCGTGGAGGAACTGGGGAAGGATCCATCCACACTCCCCCAGACCAGGTAGGCTCTTATGATGGGCAGCAGGAGGGATTTGGTCAGCTACCGCCAACTGTTTTCCATTTCTTGTTCGTAAGGCTACACTTCCCACCCGCTTGGGCGAAGGACCGGCTGCTGAATTGTGTGTGTGTGTGTGTGCGCGCGCGCGCGCGTGTGTCCCTACACGTTTTCTGGGGTGTCCGCGCTTCTCGGGGAGCGAAATTGCTCGGGCTGGTGCGTCTGGGCGTGAGTGTGCCCGCCTGCCAGTGCCGGCTGCCGGAGGAGGAAAGGGCTGCTAAGGAGAGATGCTGCACCCTGCACGGCGCTGGGCTCTGAGGCTTCAGGGCGCGAAGAGCTAAGTCCACCCGGAATGCAGCGCTGCTGGGGATCCAGGCGTCCCCACCCACTGGGCTCTGCTCCACGGTCATCCCACCTCCTGGTAATCCTTGGGGTCTTCCCCAAGGCCACACTCGCGAGTCTCTTTTCCGGCGAGGTCTGGGTGCTCCTTCACCACGGACTGCGGAGAGGAGGGAGTTGTGGCCGGGGCAGGAGGAACAGGCAAGGGGGGATTACAGCGGGACGGGGGTGGGGTGGGGGTGGGGGGTAGTGGGCTGAAGGGTCCGGGTCTTTGGGCACTATGCCGGGGTGTACGCGTTGGGCATTCTGCACGCACAGGCATCTCTCCCCCACGAGATTCGAAGGGAACTTTGCAGCTGCATTATCTGCCTCTGGAGCTTTGCTGGCTGTTGGGGAAATGGTCTGTGTTCTGAGATGTGAGGATATCCTTCTTGGCTCCTCCTTAATGAAGAAGAGGGAGGTCTTATGGGTGGACAGTCAGCTAAAGAAACCAAATCTGCCCAGAGGATGCTTTTAAAAATACAGTGTGTGTGCATCCTTGATTTCAACACCCCCCCGCCCATGGATTCTGTTGACTATTTGATGAATGACTGGGGCTGGCAATTTGTATTTCCCTCTCCAGACAAAGTGGCAGTGGTTGGGTTGAAAGCAGACTGATCAAATTTAACAAAGAATTTTCTGAAGAGAGCAATAGTGCGTGGTGTCCGCATTCATCGGAAAGAAAGTCAGGCTTTGCACTAGGTATCTCTTTAACCGCCCCCCCACCCCCTTAGCCTGGCTCCCTTGCTGGCGCTCTGTATCTCTCCTGCTAGTCAGCCACTAGTGGTTGTGACTATAACAATACAAACTTTGTCCTGCTGGAGGTGTAAAGACTAAAAAGAGAAAAAAGGATATCAGTAGGAGGTGTAGTGGAAGAAGCTTTTTAAAAAATGACAGATGTAAAGACAGTACTGGCATCCAGATCGTGGAGGAGCTAGCAGAGTAGGTGGAGATTCTGATCAGATCTGGTTAAAGGCATAGGCTGAGTATCTCCAAATATGAGCAATTGGAGCACCCACAATCCAGCGTCTGTGGGAAGATTTGCTAAGGGAAATGGGGAGCAACCAGGAGGGCATTCTGCAAGTATGCCTCCCACCCACGCCCCCCTAAACACACACATGCACACACTTGCGTGTTTTCTCTTTCTCTCTCAAAGCTACTCCTGCAGCAAGTCAGGAAAGGAGGATAGAAATGTATCTAGATGTTTCATTCATTTCAGATAAGAAAGCAAAACCAGAATAGGGGCGACAGCTGTTAGGTTCCTCTTTCAAATCCTGTGTTACTTGGATTTAGCTCTATGGGTTTGCTAAACTTGCTTAATTGGCTGCTTAGGCTGGTGTGAAAGGAGGAAGGAAAGGAGAGCTAGCTCCATCTTTGGGGCCTTGTGAGTGAGAAGGTGGGGGAAGACCCACTTACTTCATCAAGAAGCAGGATGTGTTTTCTTAAATGGTTTTCATTTTACAAATCCCGCCTGTTTGAAGAATTCCATTTGATTCTGAGGGCTATTTTGCTAAGATTTCTCCCACCTACTAAAAAAAGAGCGCTTATTTTTTTTCCTCCCTAAAATGGCTGTTGTCTTGTATTAAATATGGAATGATTAATTACTAGGGAATTAAAGAACTGGATAGAGGTAAACCATTATTGACTATTGAGCTGTGCAGGGTTGCAAAGGATGCAAGTGTCCATGACAATCAGACTTCATTTACTCTGTCCTGAAAGCTTCACAGGGCTGGAAGAGGAGAGTAATGAATTAAAAGAATATGAAGGCTGTTCTTTATATCTATCTGTCTATCAATCTATCTACCTAACTACCTACCTATTTATCCATCTGTCTTTCTATTCTTTCTATTTTATCATTACTATTGAATGGTTTCTGCTATATCATTTTGGATTTAAGATTAAGAGCTAGCTAACCATTTTGTTGACCATGAAGGGGAAGAGAAGTGATAGCAGTGCTTTTACTCCAACGAAAATTACAAAAGGAAGATGAAGTATAGTCAGGACTGTATGCAGGATTTACATTAATTGCTTTTTCAAGCTTACTGTTTTGGAAAAAAAAAAAAAATTCCAAGAGAGCTTCAGCATTTTGTTAGCAAGCTATATTTAACATGTTTTTTATCAGACAAAAATAGACTTTATTTATCTTGCAAAGTAAACGCATGGTTTCTTCCCTCTCAGTATTTAATCTGTTTCTTAAAAAAAATAAATAAATGATGATAAAAGCTCTGCAGATCCAATGAGGTTACATTCCTGCTTTAAAGCAAGTTAAAGCATTCATTTAGGTCATGGATGTGTTTCTCCCAAAGTAAGTGCATTATAGGACTTTGCCATCTGATTTTTGTGTTGCAATTCAGTGAAAGGAGCCCTTTCTCCATAACACCTTCAGGTAGAGAGAGCAAGCATGGAGGTAAGTAGCCAGTGGTCTACCCCATCAGCATGGAAATAACCAAGGTCCAGGCTGAAATAGAAATTAAATCTGGAAAAAGAAATACACGATTAAAAGAGGGTGGTAGAGCACCAATCTTGCATGTTTTGTATTTTTACAGTGTGAATGTATGTTGCTTCTAACCAAAAATTAAATTGTTGCTTTACATTTGCTGAGAATTTAGGAATCAACGTGTTGCAATCTCTTTCTTCTTCCTGTTCCTTTCATCCTCCCCCCATCCCCCGCCACTTTTTTTCTTATAAGGGATAGATGTCTCTTGCCAAAACATCTTCCAGTATTGCCCATACCTCATACTTAGACCCCTCATCATAACCTCTACCAGATAGTCTCCCATCTGATCAAATTCTCCTGCTCCCTCTTGTGGCAAATATTCTCCCTGACTTTCCCTAGATTTCAGAATCACAGCTAACTAACATCATTCACAGCTCCCTTAGCTGCCTATCACTTGGGTTCTAATCTCAGTAATACTTGTGACTAACCAAGCCAGTGGGTTGATGAACTAGCCATTTCAAGTTTTCTCTCTGAACAAAGGGATGTCTATCCCCTGGAGACATACTTGAGATTTAGTGGAAGTAAATGTCAGATGCTTTGTGACCCATTAGGATGGAATAGATTCGGGAAATGTGAGCTTTCAGAGTTGGGCTCTTGAGATTTTGATTTGGACTCAGAGCTAGTCCGGTGGGGCCTCATTAAATGCAGTGAGATGATTTTCAGTTTTCTTTCTTTCTCTTCCAAAAGATACCTCTTTCCCTATGTGTCTGGGTCTGTGTGTGTCTCTCTCTCTCTCACTGCCTCCCTCCCTCCTTAGACTCTAATGTGTGCGCATGTGCGCGCACCCACACACACACACAACACAAAATATATTTTCTACAACACATATTTTGAAGACTTAAACTCAGTCAATAATTAGGTTCTCAGTAAAGTTTGTAAATCAAACAACCTATTTTCTGAACTGGAGACTTCTAGGGTAAGCTACTCTCATTGGCATGTTTTCATCAAGAGCAGGTCAGAATACAAATGAGGAGATTGGGTGCCTTCTTCCAGTGTGTTGACTCAACTTGGAAGACAGTTGCTTGCAGCCCTTGCTGCCTCAAGTGTTTTGTGTAGACTCTCCTTGCTGATGACTCTTATTGAACTCTAAGTGTTTTATATCCACTCTGTGATAGTCCTTTGATCTGCCTAGCCAAGAGAGTGTAGTACAGAACAAGAGAGACAAAGGTTCAAGAGAATCACATTTTCTCTTTATCTGAAACTTTCTAGCCAATTTCAGGAGGAGGAGGAGAAGGAGGAGGACGTGTGGAAGGAGAAAAGTCCTGACTGGCAGCTGAAGTGAAGGAAATGTGTTTGGGGTCAAGGGCAAGTGCATTATAGGCAGCCAACTGTAAAGTGATCGGGGCGGGGGGGCAAAACATCCTTGGGGTGGAAGCATTTATCCATCCACCAACATAAGATCAGAAATTCTCCCTATTAGACATTGATTCAAATAAAGTAATTCTATCTAGTAGATCCCTAATAAAATGCAATGACATCACTTAGGAAAGAGCTACCTTTAATTCTTATAGACCACTGGCATTTGTTTGTCTGCTAACTTGTATTGGTTTATCAGGTCAGCTGACAGAAAAGTCCTGAGGGCCTGGAACACAGGAAGATACAGAGGAAGTGAAAGTAGTTTGAAACTGGGTTGGTGCCCAGTTTGTGCCCTCAGAGGCTCCGTCTGGTGGGGAAGCGTGAGGACCTGTGTGCCCAGCAACGGGGCCGCTGACGGAGGGAGTTGAGAGTAGCCAGACAGAGACAGTGATGCACTCCCACACTGAAATTTTACTTCTGGGGCAGCAAAGGTATCAAAAATTTGATCCTTTCTGGAAAATGTAGCCTTTCGAATTCTTCTGAGAATGGGCAAATTATGATCCCCAGTGAGAAATGATATCCTTAAAATCTTGAATGGCTTCTACTATATGCTGTTTTGGAATATTCATACCAGTAACCTATAAAATACACATGCGATACCAATTCAGACAAATGGTTTCTTGCATATATAATAGAGATAGAAAAATAAATTTAAATATTAGAGTTCATCTTAATTTAAAAAAAGACCTAAAACATAATCACTCAGTGGATGTCATTACATGTGAAGTCAGAATAATTAATAATTTCTTCATGGAATCTAATGTGAGATGAAGTCAGACAGACAAGAGGGTGATTCAGCAATTTACTACAAACCAACCGTGATATTTATTGAGCGCTCACTGTATGCAAGGCACTGCCCTGGGCTTTTCAGAGAATGCAGATGATGAAGAGGAGTTATTTGACATTTGCTGATTGCCCATTGTATGCCCAGGGCCAATTTAAGCACTCTGAATGTGTTTTCTCATTTAATGCTTATAAGTGCCCTGCAAGGAAGCATCCTTATCATGATATAAAAATGAAGACTATGGCTCTGTTAAATAACTTACTTGCCGGTTAATAGGTGATAGTACGAGTTTTTGATGCTGTTCAGAAGCCATGTTCTTTGCGCCATGTTCTCTATTCTTAAGGATGTCATGGTCTAGAACACCTAAATGCTGAGCCAACTGGGAAATATTGCTACAACTGTCTAATGAGCAAAATGCTGTAGAGTTGGAAGGAAGAAGAGAATATTGGAAGAGGCTTCATGGGGGAGGAGGCATTTCAGTTTATTTTCCAAGAGTGAAAAGGGATTCTAAAATAAATAAAGCCA